TTTTTGGATAATCTTCAGTAGAATCTTGCTTGCATATGAAATCAATGATATTGTTTTATAGTTTCCACACACTGTTGGGTCACCCTTCTTACTATATCTAATAATAGTATACCATTAAACACTATTTTTTCTATCGCCATTTGAACAAATTACATTTTATCAAAACTTCTTTGATGACACAATCACTGGATAAAAACACATAACATCATGATTGGTAAAATAGAGGGTCCGTGAAAAAGAGGAATGTTCTCAATGAGATGGATGGATTGGCAGAGTAGTAATTTTAAGGATGACAGGATTGAGGTGTTTTTAATTCTTTTATTCATGGACTTAGTGTAAGTTGGAACTACTTCAAGGGCATCTTGCATCAAAAATTTGAAAAAATACGTTAAGAATAAAAGATTTACTTGTTTAGTTCAGTATTCATTTTCAAAGTTCATTTTCTACTAACAAATTAAAATGTACATTTGCATGTTAATTTAGGTTTTCCAAGTTGAAGAAGAAATGCGAGGGCTTCTGGAAGAAACATCCAAAAACAAAAAAGCAATGGAAGAAAAAATTAAGCAACTTGCTTGTGCTTTAAGTGAAATTCAACAAGAATTATGATGGTTTTGAGAACAAACCCATTTGAAATGGAGCAGCAAACCTATTGTAAAAATGATTAAATATTGTAACAGTAGTAACTGCTATGACTTTGAAATGTCTCTTTCTATACCTCATTCTGAATATATTTTTAAATACTTGTGATCAAGTATTTACTAATTGTATATATAAATTTTGTAATAAATTGTTAATAGTTAATGTGTATTAGAAAAAACCTATCAAAATAATTATACGTAAGACACTTTTTCTTGTCTTGGTGCTATACAGTATTTGGTAACTACGTAGTTCCCTATAATTATGGTAAATGAAAATCAGGGTTAGTACTTCGAATCATATGAGGGAATGCAATTTAAACACATGTTTGCCTTTTCATGGAGTTGAATATTGAGTTCTGTTTACTGGTTGTACTTTGGTTGATGTAGCTCTGTTTTCTTGCTTAGAACATATAAGGGTAGTCAAAAAATACTTGAATTCGATCTGGTTAAAGATGGGGAATTTTAAAGAAAGTATTTGTAGTCCTTTCCACATCACTCATAATAATCCTTTTCATTAAAGGTTGTATTTAGGTTTTATAAAATTATTTTACTCCAGAAAAGTATTTATTACATGCAGAGAAAAAAAAATACAGTTAAAGCAATGTCATTACAAAAACATTAGAAGCCAGAAAGCAGTGAATGGCTTATTTAAATTGTTATAAACTATTAATCAAGAATTTTACATCCTCCTAAACTATTCTTTAAAATTAAAGATATTTCTAGGTTGGGGGGAAAAACCAAAGCACCCAGGAAATCTTGCTAGCCAATGTACTTTAAAGGAAAACTTACCCAACTAGAAGAAATGAAGAGTATTAGAAATAGTAAATAGGTAAACAGAAGAGACCGTAGTTATATTTTTTCTTTCGATAGAACATATCAATTATATAAAGCACTTATAATGCTATTGTTGAATTTATACCCCAAAAATAACGATAGAGAAAATTGAAGGGTAGTAACTAAGCTGGTGTTACTGAAAATCAAGCCCAAAATCTTGTTTTAAGGGTATCCAAATTACAGTGCCATCTGAAATTCCAACTTTAAGTGGTGTCTGAAATTAAATAAAGCCTTTGGTTGGGAATAAATGTATCCTGAAACTTGGGGTGTGGCCTTATGGGCAGATATCACTCAGGAAGCCTGAGGAATTAGACCTCTAAATCCCAAAGAACCAGTCCTGCTGACAGAACCAGCTTTCCTCCCCTTAGCCAATATGAGATAAACCCAGGTGTACTTAATGAGTCTCTGAGAGTTCACCTGGAGCAGAGCCTGGGGCATTGTTAGAGGCAATAGTCTTGCAAATGTTGCCATATATTCCCTACTCTTATCCCACTACTCAGTTTTGCTTCTAGACTTGAACTAATGTTAAATCTTAGTGAACTCTAAGAGAGGAAATACAAATTCTTACACTCTTTCACAGAACTTAACATTTTTCCAATGTGCCGTTGGGTTGACTGATTCAGTGACCTACATATACAACAGACCTGAACCTTACTCTATCATGTACCATCCCCACGCTCTGTCATGCACGTGATTTTTCCAGAATGTACAAACGAACCTGGGGAATACAGGTGGTGGTGATGGTGGTTGTGTACCATTGAGGTGGAACCAACTTACAGCTGATCCTCCAGTGGATTTTCAGAGGCAGTTAATTGCATGAGAGGAGATTGCCCTTACTTCTCACATGGTACGGCTGGTGGATTCAAACCATGTGCCGCTGGGATTGCACCACAGCTTCTTACCTTTAGGCCACCAGAGCTCCAGGGGAATATGATAGGAATGGCTATTAAGGTTGCAAAGTAAAGGTACAAAGCGCAAAATCAGATCTGTCTGAATTTGATTTGGGGACACAAATTCAATGTTTCAACTAGAGAAATTAGGAAAGGATAAAAGAGTGTATTTTATTGGCTCACAAGTGCGTGAATTATGCAGTGGTCTACAGTAAAACAAGACCTGCTTTACTACCGTGTCTTTATGGTTGAAGGGGCTAGCCAGAGATTTTAAGGAAATGGACATGTTAAGAGTGGCTCTTTCCAGTTAGATCCATATATCCATATATAGAACCCCAGAAACACCTCTGTTTGGTAAGGAATAACTTTGTGAAGAAAGCCACAGGATCCTTGAAGACTGCTATAATTTTGACTTTTCTAAGCCAGAATTAACAGTGGCAATTGCTCTAATTAAGTACAACACCTGTCTGTCGGTATGTTATATTGAGGATTGATCATGCTGCTGATTCTGGAGCCTATGCCAGGAAATTTGGAGGACAGCTGTCTGGCCAATGGATTGGAAGAGGTCCATATTTGTGCCTATTTCTAAGAAGAGTGATCTAACTTAATGTGGAAATTATCAGTATAATTGATATCACATGCTAGCAAAATACTGCTGAAGATCATTTAAAAAACGGCTGGAACAGTACCTAGATAGGGAATTGCCAGACATTCAAGCGGGATTTAGAAGAGGCCGTGGCACCAGGGACATCATTGCTGATACCAGATGGATCCTGGCTGAAAGTAAGGAATGCCAGAAGAAGGTCTATTTGTGCTTTATTGACTATGCAAAGGCATTGGACTGTGTGGATCCTTGTGGCTGACACTGAGAAGAATGGAAAACCCAGAGCACTTGATTGTTCTTTTGAGGAACCTATATACCTAGAGCAGGAGGCTGTTGTGTGAACAGGGTAGGGGGAGAGTACTGCATGGTTTGGGATTGGGAAGGGAGTGTGTCAGGGATGTATTCTATCTCCAAACCTGTTCAGTCTATACGCTGAGTAAATTATCCGAGAAGCTGGACTCTTATGAAGAGGAATGTGGCATCAGGATTGGAGGGAGACTCATCAATAACCTGCATTATGCAGATGACACAACCTTACTTGCTGAAAATGAGGAGGATTTTAAGCACTTGTTGCAGAATGCAACCTTCAGTTTGGATTGTGTCAATATCGAAAAAACAGATTCTTACCTCTGCTTCAATAGGCAGTGTCATGGATGGAGAGGAGATTAAAATTGTCAACAGCTTCTTGCTTGGATCTGCAATTAACACCCTTGGTATGAGCAGTCAGGAAATAAGAAGACACATTGTACTGGGAAAATCTGCAGTTAGGGACCTTTCCAAATTACTGAAAAGTAGTGATGTCAGTTTGAGGACTGAGATGTGTCTGATTCAGGCCATGGTCTTTCCAATTACTAGCTATGGGTCTGAGACCTGGACAGTGATGAAGGATAACTGAAGAATTGATGCCTTTGAGCTGTGGTGTTGGGAAGAGCACTGAACATTCCATGGACACCCAAGAAAACGAATATGTATTGGAGAGGGTACAGCCAGAGTGCCCTTTGGAGGCAAAAATGATGAGGTTTCACCTCACGTACTTTGGACATACTGCTAGGAGGTGTTATTCCTTGGAGAGGAACATGATGTTGGGAAGGGTGGAGGAGATGAAGCCTTTCAACCAGGTGGACTGACAAAGGTGACTGCTGCAATGGACTCTTCTGTGTCAGGAAGTGTGAGGATGGTGCAGGGTAGGAGTAGGTGCAGATCTTTTGTTCATAGGGTCACTGTGAGTAGTACTAGACTCTATGGAACCTAACAAGAACAACAATTCTGAAGAGAAAAGATGTCAGTATGGAAACTAAGGTACACCTGATTGAAATAATAGTCTTCACTTGCTGTGCATTAGAGACCTGGACAATGACCAAAGAATTGATGGCTTTGAGTTGTAGGATTGGAGTTGTTACTGTTAAGTGTCATCAAGTTGTAGACTTGTAGCAACCTTATGAACGAAAGACCTGAACGTTTGTTTAACTTTCATCATTTCTCCAGATTCATAGGCTTTCCGGAGGCAAGTTATTTTGGAAGTGGATGCCACTCCTGCTTCCAAGCTTGTTTTAATTGGGGAGCTGCACCAAATGCTGTCCACCATGTGTAACCATTCTTACATCTGACACATCAGTGTCACAGTGTTCAGCATCACAGCAACCATGAGTTACCTCTGTACAGCAAATGGACAGACCAGTGCTTTACCACTTAGAAGAATGTTTGGCCAAAAACAATTAAAACCAGGTCTGAGGGCCTCAGATTAAAATCATCCACCTTGGGCTTGGTAGCATCACTTTCTGTCCGCTAGGCCAACTGAGCTCTCTCTATGTTGTTATTGTTGAGTGCCATCTCATTGCGACCCTATGAGTGAAAGACCTGAACACCTGTAGAACTTTCATCGTTTCTCCAAGTTCACAGGGTTTCTAGAGGCAAGCTATTTCAGAAGTGGATGCCACTCCTGCTTCCAAGCTTGTACTGGAGTATTGAGCATAAATACCAGAGACTGCCAAGAGAACAAATGGATTTATCCTAGAGAGGGTGAAACTAGTATGCTTTTTTGGAGGGAAGGATTTTGAAGCTCTGTATCACATACTTTGCGCACATGGCCAGAAGGGAGGAGTAGAACATGTTTGGAAGGGTGAAGTGACAGCACAGGAGAGGAAGACCCCAGAAAAGATGGATTGACAAAGTAACTGTGGTAATGAGGTTAAGTGTGCTGGAGACAGACTGGCTCAGGATAGAGCAGAGTTCAGAGCTATTGTATATAGGGTCACTATGAGTTGCAGGCAACTCAACGGCACGTAAAAACAATTTCTTTATAGATGGGTGTTTATATATGCTGGCTTGTTTATTGTTTGGTTTTATTAGTACAGCATTTATCTGCCAGTCTGCTGTACTGGTATAATGTGTGGGTCACCGTGATGCTGGAAATGATGTCAACAGAGTATCAAATGCTAGAAGGGTCACTCGTGGTGGACAAGTTGCAGGTGGACAAGTTGCAGCAGTGCTCCTAGATTATGATAGTCTATGGAGCAGGACTGGCCATCCACTTTTAAAACAACAGGCCCTGTGAACAACAGAGGCAGGTGGCTAGAGTATTAAAGAGGGAGGTTAGCTGGGAATTCACTCAAATAAGAGAAACAGCTGCAAATAACCATT